TTTTGTCCCAGCAATGAGAGAAAGGTGACCAAGACACCATACCTTCGGTATTGGAGGAGGCATCATAAAAGATGTAGTGTAAGATCCAAATTGTAGCCTGATATAGGCCCAGGCATTAAAAAATTTGCTTGAGTATGAGCTTAGTAATCAGAGGTCTAATACTCAAAATGAGGACTTCAACAAATGTACTGTGCTCTGTCCTTCGCAACACGAGTTTGTCCTTAGTGCTGTTCAGAGTGAGGCAGTTTGGAGATTCAATTCTTAAAGAAGAAATCACTCAAATCATGCACATCACAGTCATTTATTGGTACTAGAACTTATAAGTGTGCTGTTGAATTTTTCATCTTCCTTGCTTCTAAATTTAATTAAGAGAAGCACTACTGTCTATTTCATGACTGATTCAATGAGGTTGATGTAACACTGACATATATATGAAAATTATATCTGGATTAATCCTTTCAGGATTAATTTTACTTCTCTCATTTTCATTTACAAAGGTCACTGACAAGTTGTGAGAAACCATCAAGACATTCCCATGTGATCAAAGTGAAATAGAGATGATTCATTTGGAATCATGCAGGCCATTATGAAACCTGGTGGACATGAAAATCTTCTGGAGAGAGAGAAGAGACATAGTTTTCACACCCAACCATGCCTTGTCCTATGCTAGACATTAGCCATTTACTCCCAGCCAGAATCCGGGCCAGAAAGCACATATAAATAAGGACTCTCAAACTATGGTAAAATTGTAAAATTTCAAGTTTATTTTGAGTCACCTTATAAAAAGTTTGAAATGGCACATAAATCCACTCTCAGTGTTCACATTTGTTTTATAGAGATTTATTTGTATTTTGAACAATGTATACATTCAAAAAAAACTAAATGATCTTAGCATATGGTTAATTTTAAAACTAAGCAGTTTACAATAACATACAAAAATGTATAAGAACTTCAGAAGTCTTCTTCAGACCACTGGATATCTTTATGTCCAGAATTATAGATTAAATACTAAAATTCAAATTGTAGGTAGACATTTAACTAACTTTGTAGGAATAAAACAAGTTTAGCAATATATTTGATAAAGAAAAATATTTAAATATGAGTATTGCCATTGATTTTTGTTTTAAAGTGAAAAATAATTACATTTCTTATTTCCTACCATATATTCCCTCTCTTATTTGGTCAAAATATTAGGCCAATGTATTCTTAGACCAGCAAATAAATGATTGAATTCATGCAAGACACATTGGAAAAATCATCCCATAATCTCATATTCTAAATTTTTATTGTGGGCAAAAATTTAAAATTTATTACTAAATACTGATTACACGTTTTCTCCCCTGGTATTCAAATATAATGAATTAACACTAAGGTGATCAACATTTTTCTAAGTTTAAAATTTCACAAAATTATATATCCTTTGATATTTCTTTGTGTTGTTTCCTTTAAATATATTTGGTTCATATTTAACATGTTGTAATTAGAAATCAAATCAATGTATTGATCTACTTTTTTAAATGTAATGAGCTAAAATCCGTGCCTCACTGAA